CACCCTGGAATTTTATCTGGCCTTGAAGTCTTATCCCAAATGCTCCATTCTTGCTTTCTTAGGATGGTCTTCTCTCTCCTATCTTCCCACTCTGACAGACTGACCCATACAGGGCAGATTACTCAGGGCCCTGGCACTTTCCTTTTGGTCAGGCAGCCTGACATGGTAGGCAAACAGCAAACAGCTTTGGAATCAGACCAACTATGGACCCAGGTTGGAAACTGACTCGCTGTGAGAGGTGAGGAGGTTATTTAAGCTCTTGAGCTGCAGTTGGCTTCTTTTTCTGAAAAACGAAAGTGATGAAAGCATGGAAATATTCTGGCACATGGTAGGCATTCAGCATATGCCTCGTGTGTCCCTTGAAGGCAGAGTCTGACCATGTTCAGTTAGCTTTGTCTTCCCAAGACCAAGGCCTTGCATGTGGTAGGCAGTTGGTGAACAATGTTGAGTACCTACTAGGTGTCAGTAACCATGGGATGCTCTCCAACAGGGAGTGACAGTCCCTGACTAGTTCCAGGCTCCTGCTTTTGCCACTGCTACAGGATGTTTTTCCCAGCTAGCTGGTGGTCAATTTCCACTAAAAGACACCTTAGAACCAGACATCGTCTCCTACACCTGGAATCTGAGCTACTTTGTACATAGGGGCATGGGAGTGTGCACACGTATGTGGAATCGAGGGACAACCCTGACTTACCATTCCTTGGAAACCATTTACCTTGTTTTTTTATTTATTTTTTTATTTTTTGGTCTTTTTGAGACAGGGTCTCCCTGTAGCCCCAGCTGGCCTGAAACTCACTATGTAGACCAGTCCACAGGTGCTCCAGGAGCACCAAGAGTCGCTGTATCAGAATAAAAGAACAACAACAAACATCTTTGGGGACTCCGATTCAGAAACTGGGGTTTAAGACCACATGTTAAGGCTGGGTGTGGTAGTGCGTGTGTTTAGTCCCAGCACGTGGGAGGCAGAGGCAGGCAGATCTTTGTAAGACTGAGGCCAGCCTGGTCTACATAATTCTAGGCCAGCTGGGGTTACAGGGAGACCCTGCCTGAAAAAGACCACCCCAAAAAAGGCCATGTTAGAATAAAGATCTCCTAGTACCATTATCTACAAGAGTCTTAGGAACTCTGCCTCAAGAACTAGGCTCAAAGATCAAGCATGTATTTTTTTTTATTATATTGTAATATCATATCTGGTCTCCAGAAACTACTTCTTGTCTCACTCTCTCTCTGTGTGTGTGTGTGTGTGTGTGTGTGTGTGTGTGTGTGTGTGT